GTCATCCCAGAGAGCCTCCACTAGGGTGACGCCAGGTGGAATTGTGGAATTGAAACTGCTGCAGAGAGCTCCCACCAGGTAGTGCCTAGTGGAGCCTTAGGTGCCAGACAGCCACCAAGACTCCAGAACTATAGAACAGTAGCATGCAACTGCTAGTGTATCCCCCATCCCCAGTGTGTACAGGATGTCAGACATGAAGTCAAGAAAGATTATTCTCTAGCTTTAAGATTTAATGTCTACCCTGCTGGATTTTAGATTTGCTTGGGGCCCTTGTTCTCTCTTCTGGCCTATTTCTCCCTTTTGGAATGGGAATATATATCTTTTTTTTTTTTTTTTTTGAGTCAGAGTCTCACTCTGTCATCCAGGCTCAACCTGCTGGGCTTAAGTGATCCTTCTGTCTCAGCCTTCCAAGTACCTGGAACCACAGGCGTATGCCACCACGCCTGGCTAATTTTATGATTTATTGTAGACATGAGGTCTAGTCATCTTGCTCAGGTTGGTCTCAAACCCCTGAGCTCAGGCAATCCTGTTGCCTCCGCCTCCCAAAGTGCTGGGTTTATAGGCATCTGGTTTGGGAATGTATATCTTATACTTTTCCCACCATTGTATCTTGGAAGTAGATAACTTGCTTTGATTTCACAGGCTTACAGATGAGACTTTGAACTTTTGAGTTGGCCATGGAACAAGTTAAAACTTCTGGGACAATTGGGATGAAATTGTGTTTGCATTGCGAGAAGGCCATAAATTTTAGGGACCAGGGGAATCATGCCCAGGGGTAGAATGGTGTGAATATAGTTTGTCCCTCAAAAGTCATGTGCCGGAAACTTGGTCCCCAAATGCTACAGTGTTGAGAGCTGGAACCTTTAAGAGGTAACTGGGTCATAAGGGTTCTGCTCTTATGAGTAAATTAACCTATCCATGTATTAATGGATTAATAGATTAATGTATTAATAGGTTATCAAGGAAATGGGTTAGCTATCATGAGAGTCTAATATAAATGCCAGTCTGGTTGTCTCTTATGAGCCCCTTTGCCCTGTGATGCTCTGTGCTGCCTTGAGACTTTCCAGAGTCTCAGCCAGCAAGAAGGCCCTCATCAGATGTGGCCCCTGGACCTTGAGATTTCCCAGTCTCCAGAATTATAAGAAATAAGCCTTTTTTTGTTATAAATTACTCAGTCTCAGGCATTCAGTTATACCAACAGAAAACAGACTGAGATAGATATTGATGCTGTGGGTCCTGAGTCCACACTTTGAGAACCACTGCTAAGTAATATTGCCTCTCTGTGAGCCTGCTTACAATTATGTGAAGCTAGAGACAACCTCTGTTTTGTGTATAAACTTACTTTTACTTTATATAATTTTAACACATACTGAATTTTGGGGAATACAAAGTCCAGATAAGTGTTCAACAGAAAATGTACTTTGTTCTCCTGGGAACTTGACCAATAATGGTCTAACATCAACAACTCTGATTTTTGAGGTTTTTTGGTTTTTTTTTTTTGAGTTGGAGTCTCACTCTGTCACCCAGACTGGAGTGCTGTGGCCGCTCCCGGCCAGCGCAGCCTCGACCTGCTGGGCTCCGGCGATCCTTCCGCCTCAGTCTTCCGAGTAGCCGGAATTATAGGCGCACGCTACCACGCCCGGCTGATTTTTTTATTTATTGTAGAGATGAGGTCTTGCTGCCCAGGTGGGTCTCAAATCCGCGGGCTCAGGCAATCCACTCACCTCAGCCTCCCAAAGGCACAGGATTACAGGCTGAGCCACCGAGCCCGGCGATATTTGAGTTTTGAGGGACCATTTGCTAAGGCATCTGAGTTATATTAGCTCATTGGAAATAATTTCTGCTCTCAGACAAAAGGTTCTTATCAGTTTTACCATGATTCTATAATTTTACATGTATATATGAAAAGCAAGTATCTGAATATCTCGCCATGTTTTCCAATACCGTCCTACTTGAGCATTTTACACAATAGAATATATATTTTTATATTAAAATGTATTTAAAATAATGCCATGCTTCTCTTTTATATTACATTTGGTGTTATATTTTTATTTTTAATTGTGTAAGTAGCTTACATAATAGATACATTTCATTTCAGAATAATAAAGGATCTCTATAAAATATTTGTTATAAAAATAAAAATTTGGGTCCGATCAGTTTGAGAATGATTAACTTTTTCTTCTGTGGAATGGATAAAGAGTTAGTATTAATAATTAATTTTGAGGACAAACAGTTTGAAGTTTGTTAGATTAGTGGAAATAAACTAGGCTGAAAATTAAGATACCTGATGTTTATTCCTGAATCTCACTAAGTGGCATTATGACATTCAGCAAGTGATTCAACTCTCTGACTCTCCATTTCCCAATTTTAAAATGAATGCATTAGACTAAAACATCTTCAAGATTTTTCTACTTATTCATTGAGTAAAGACTGTTTTAAACTTTCTTCACAATTAAGTATGCTACTTTGAACCCATGAAAGAGATTTTCAACTTAACTGACTCTACAATATCAGTGACCAAGTGAAAATTTTAACAACCAATTATACACTTTACCAGATTTAGGAAGGCAAAATTACTCTGTCAGTGTATCTTTAAGTAGGAAGTGTGTTAGGTAATTATACGATGTGAACTTTTAATTCCAAGAACGTCGAGAGAACCTAAAAGTAAGGTGTTGGCCCTACCCTGGCCTTTGGAGTTTGTATCCCCGTTAAAGAGCATTTTCATCTCTGGGTTTGCAAGGGCAACTCATTTGCCACATTGAAATTGGTGTTCAGGCTTAGAAACCAAGCTAAGGATATGAAGTGCACTTATCTTAACATTCAAGGAAACTTCCTGAGTAGACTATCATCTAGGGAAACAAAAGCGAGTAATTTGCACCTGTTCCTGCTGAAAGCTTATAATCTAATGAAAAATGGACATATGAATATTTACTTGTGACCAGTGTGATGGGGGCAAAAAATGTATGTACCTAATGTTATGGTCCAAGTAATGTTTGGCTGCTTACTCCTGATAATGATAAATCAAGGGGCAGGGAACTGGTAGAAAGAAGTTTATTTCTGAATTTGAATCCAGTGAGCAGAGCCGGACTTGAGGTCATTGTAAAATGGATCTGCTCACCCTCCATGTTTTTTTTTTTTTTTGAGTTGGAGTCTCATTCTGTCACTCAAACTGGAGTGTAGTGGCCGCTCCTGGCCACTGCAGCCTCGACCTGCTGGGCTCCAGCGAACCTGCCACCTCAGCCTTCCAAGTAGCTAGAACTACAGGTGCACGCTACCACGCCCGGCTAATTTTTGATTTATTGTAGAGATGAGGTCTCGCTAAGTTGCCCAGGCAGGTCTCGAAGTCGCGGGCTCAGGCAATCCATTCACCTCAGCCTTCCAAAACACTGGGATTACAGGTTGAGCCACCGAGCCCAGCTAACCCTCCACGTTCTTACAGTTCACTTTTATAAGCCCAGAATTCTTAGTACCTACACATTAGCCACATGACCAGCAGAGCATTGTATAGAAAGTGAGTTTCAGCTGTATTTATTGATGGTGACATTTTTTGGTCCAGACTTCCTGGTGCCAGGTATCAGAGGTATCAGATGTATCTGATAGCTTTTATCAGTAGGGCCCACCAGAAGCATTAATCAAGCTTGCCATTGAGTAAAGGAGTTTACAAGGCCTAAGACATCATGCATTATGCAAAAGTTATACAAATCACAAAATTTAGGATTACATTGATACAAAAGTTATACTAATCACAAGGCTTAAAATTTCATTGATACTCTATTATTCAAACTCAGAAAAGGAATGTAAATGGGGATTTGTGTCTTTCAGTTGATTGGGCATAGACTACAGGGGAGTCAAGGATCCCCTGAAGCTACTTTCTGGGAATGCATAGGAGATAAGAGGACTCTCAGTAATGTGCTCAGGAATGTGCAGGAGAGCTTGAAACATTTGCATGCCCTTCTCTAGGGTGTGTCAATATGGACAGACATTAGCAGGTCTCTGTATCACCTAAGAGGACTGAAACACATCAAGTCTGTTTTGTTCATCAAGTATCTTTGGTCCACAGGGCCTGACCTCTAGCAGGCTCAATGAGAAAGGGAGTCTCAAATACCAACAACAGACAGAAAGTCAGAGAGGCTCTCACAGAAAAGAGCAATATTCAAACTCAGTAAGGAGATACCAGGAGACCATGCTACCTAGTAATCATTGACGATCAGACCAACACTCTGAAAGGGTTCATAAGACCCGCCTTCCCTATCAATTAGCTCCGCTTCCTTCCTCACCCAGGGTCGGACACTTCCTCTTGGAATCTGTAAAACAGCAGGAGCTAAGCAATATTTCTGAGAGTCGTGTGTGTGTGTGTGTGTGTGTGTGTGTGTGTGATCGCACACGTATAAAGTTCCAGGGGAGTTACACATACACACACACAACACGAATACACAAACAACAGCGAGTTTGCACGAGAATTCTCCAGCAGGCAAACAGCATTAACAGGAAACCTAAGTTCTCGAACAGCTGGGGAGGCTAATGTTATCTAGTCAAGTTTTTCTAGAGGAAAAAACAAGAGTAATGAAGCAACGGAACTGAGAAGACTAAGGAAGGGAGAAAGGCAAGTTAAAAGAGCTCTATTTTCTAGGACTCTCCTCTCGGCCATTTTTGTCACCTTCTGCACCACTGGCTGCTCCTCGCTCCCCCGCAGAGGCCCCCCCTGAGCCCCACGGCCCGGGACTGCACAGAAACAGAGACTGGGACCCGCGCAGACTGCCCGTGGCTCTTAAGCCCTACCTGGGGTCACCCTGGCCATGCACAATTTTGAAACGTCCCGGTGCAGTGAAATCCGTCCCTGGACTCTCCCCCAGCGGAGGGTCCCACAGCAGCCAGGTGAAGGGCGACTCGCGCTCCGAT